TCATGAAAACTACAAATATGCCGTCCGGGTTGTCATACCCAAAAATCGACAACTTAACTTCTCGGCCACCGATATCACATGAAAGAAAGAAAGAAAGAGAGAGAGAGACAGACAGAGAGAGAGAGACAGAGAGAGAGACAGAGAGAGAGACAGAGAGAGAGAGAGAGAGAGAGAATAACTGCATAATAATAATCAGAAAACAGTGTGTAGACCAACATATCTGATATCAATACAATTGATAATATCTTTACACATGAATATTGATCACAGAATTGTTGTGACACTCACTCAATAAGTTTATTGACATTTTCTTATATCGTATAATAATATCATACATATAATAATTTATATGACATTTGAGTATAAATGTCTACACTTTATGCAAAATTTTGTATTAGATATTTAGTAAATATATATATATATTATAATCATATAAATACTATATAATATATAATTTTCTGTATTCACTGTACATATTTTAATTCATCAAATAATTTTTAATGGCATTACATTCAATTTTAATAGTATTAATATAATAGTATATACAGTAACACTAACATTAAATTGGTTTTATGACATATAAATATCAAAATACATATAAGTGAGTAATGATTGTAACTGATTGTTGTGCTCCTGTCTTGTGAAATAAATATATCACAAACACAAAAAAAATCATTTAAAATTGTTGGCAATTTTATCTTTAATTTTTTTTGTTGCTGTATTACATATTACACATACATTTCAAAAGAAACTGACGCTTTGAAAGGTTTGAAATATAAAAAAAACATTTTTATAATGTCTGTTGTAAAACATTTTAGAAATACAGTATATATATAAAACAATGACTGTTTGAATTGCATTTCTAAATTGGCTTTTTGTGTCTCTCAAGTGTTGCCTTTCATTACATATGGTTTCTTAAAATGGATGAGAATTATAGAAAGAAAATTAAGAAATATAAAAATATAACACAAAGTAAATACAAGTATATATAATGTATTAAAAGAATGTATTTCTAGTAAATATTTATAGCACTTTACTTTTATTAAATTTATTAATGATAATTTAATGCCAAAATAAATTAATAAATGTATACACTGTATACTGTACAGTAATCATTGAATAAATAAATTTTACATAAAATAAATAAATTATAAGATATTGCTACCAAAAAATGTATTAATAAAAAATTTTTGATTCATAATATAATATAATAGTGACACATAATTTCTTAGAATAGTATAGTAATAATATACTGAACCTTAAACTATTAATATTATACTAAAACTTAAAGAAATACTTTTTGTATTTTTAATTTAAGTAAGAGTTAGCAAACATTATATTTACGTTTACATTACTATTACATTACTATACATTAATGGGCACAACAATAACAACTTTATTACAAAATAAAATGTATTTTAATTTTTTCTGTTTTTTAAAAATGCTATTAGGATTATAGCATACAATTGCATTAAGTGAGTGTTGTTTTAAGACATACTATATATACATTTATATTTATAGCTATTTTAAATACATAGGTTCTCTGTGTATACAGTAAACAACAATATATATACTAAACAAATATATATATAAGATATAGACTATAGTATACTAAATGTATGCAATAATAATTCAATGAGTTTTGAAATGCCCGCAGAAATATGACTGAAGGGAGAGATATAATAAAAATTCACTGAATATATATATATGTATTTATAGTATATGATGTGTATATATATAATAGTATATACTGTATATAAAATTTGATATATAACCTATAATAATATAAAAAGATGTCGAGAAAAATAAAAAACTTTATATAATAGTAGTAATATAGGAAACATGATATAAATTGATATATAAATAAAAGTCTAGTATTTATACTACTGTACAACACTATATCAACACACACAAAGAGAGAGAGAGAGAGAGAGAGAGAGAGAGAGAGAGAGAGAGAGAGAGAGAGAGAGAGAGAGAGCATTAAATGTAAGACAAAAAATGATGAAAAATGACTAAAATTTTGTTTTGTTGGACTACTATTAGACTCAACATTGAATTGAGTGTTGCTTTAAAAAAAATTAAATTTCCCGAAAGAGTGTTTCCCTGCATGACGTGTGTGTCTATGTTTTATAATATTGATTAATGCAACCAACGCACAGACAATTTAATGGACAGTCGTCTCAAAATACACAACACATTCACTATATATATACGACAACTCAGTGGTGGGTCAAACAAAAACTGGTTGGACAATCATAATTGATTACCAAATAGAGATAAATGTAATTATTAATAAATATACCGTATATAGTATATATACTATAGGTATTGACAAAATAATAATATTTGTTTCATTTGTTTACTTTAGTTTAGTTATATTATTGACGATTGGGTCACAAAACATATGATGGACTTGTAATTTCTTAATGCAAAAAAATTAGTAAAAAATATTAATGTATTACAATACATAAAAATCCGCTAAAATAAAACATGTTTTCTGTATTTTTTAAAATGTAATATTTGACTGAAAAACAGGAAATTAAGAAAACGACTGTATTTGTAGTTTAGACTCTTATATACACACAATATATTTTGTGTTTACATTTTAGTCTAACTTTAAAATTGCAATATATTTTGTTGTACAGTATATCATAGCAAATGCAAACTTGTATTATATTATAAATATATATATAGATATAACAAAGTTATTTTGTTTTTATAATTAAAATAATATGTTTTAATATAATATATTATATTACTGAAAGAAATATAACTAAATTATTTAATAAATCAATGTTATTTCTAAAAAACATATACTGTATATTACTTTTTTAAAAACATTTTTTAATATATTTCTAAAAAGTAAATATTTTTCTTTTAAAAAGACAAACATATTTAAAATTATATAATAATAAAAATATGAGATATAACTGATATTATTTATAGCAATATTTATATAATACTTTTGTAAATTTAATATAATTTCTAAGAGGTATAACGTTGAATATGTTTTTTATATTTTACTTATCTTTCATCTCTTATTGTTTACACGCATAAAACGCTTATATTAAATTCAATGGATTCAATCGCATAGTATTTATTATAATGTAAAAAATAAAGTAATGTTTGCTGTACTCAAACACATCAGAAATTGAAATTTATAGCACTTTCACAGTATATGTTATGTTTTGTGTTTCTATTATACCTACTGTACGTATAGTATATTTCATACTTATAAATATCCAATAGACTAGTGATAGTAGTGAGTATACAATAGCAAAATGTTTTGCGACAATATAATACTATTCAAATATAAACTAAAACTTTATTTTTAATCAACGATTCATTGTTTTGATAAATATTAAATTAACACACTATCATATATTAATAAATATATTTTATTCAATTATTATTATTGATATTATTATTACTAGAATAAAGTACAAAAGTAAATATTATTGATAAATTTTATTCAATATAATTTTATTAATATATTTATATTTATAATATCGTTAAAAACATATATATATATTATTAAAAATTTAATATTATAACATAATTATTGATAATTGATTGCAGTATACAAATCCTATTATTTTATAAATTATTTTTAACATAAATTATAATATTTTTGATAACAAAATACTTAAAATATTACGTGATTTAATGTAAATTTATGTGATTATATTAAATTTATTCAATACTATGTGCGAACGTAAAGTGGTTAACAAATGTTTATAAAGCTCATCAATTATTAATTTTACTGTTATTATTATTATTACTAAATATACAAATTTTTTGTTTATTTTATTTTTAATGTAGTAATAATATAATTTTTATATAATTATTAATTCATTAATAATATGCATATAATATAATTTATTCGTGATATTCATTTTAAAATTATAAAACAAAATATAAACATTTTTAGTTATGGGAATTATGGTAAAACTAAATAATTTTTAAAATAATTTATTTATACTTTAATTTTTAAAGTGCTGAATACAAAATACTGTACAATTGAAATGATAGATAGGATGGGAAATATTATTATAATATACTTAAATTGTTAAGGACTATGATATGGAAAGTAATCGTCAAATGTAAAAGACTTAACACAATAAAAACATTAATAATAGAAAACAAAAACCAATTTATTATGATTTCTAAGTAATGTTATTCCAGTTTTTTGGGTAATAATATCATTTTTGTGAGTCTGAGATCGGATTATGGGTCAATAAAATATTATATTACAATAAAAACAATAATAATTTAGTAAAATATATTTTTGCATTTTATTATTATTATTATATTTATGTACTTTATATATAAATTTATATATCAATAGATATAAAAACACAGTATAGATTTTATAAACTGTGAGTCCAGTATATATATAAAAATGTATTGAAAAGATTATTTTTAAACAACATAGTATTAGTGATGTAAATATTTTTATAATATATAAATTGAATGAAACTACAGTACAATACAGAATCATACAATAACTTATGTAACATAAGTCTTATGATAAAACATAGAGTTGAACACCAGTAGTGCTATAGTTATAAGATTGTCATAAAATCATTCACAAAATAATTTAAACAATTTTTAAAGAATTGTCTGTCTATTAAAATATCGTTAAAATTATTTTTGTTAATTTTTATAAATCTTATAATCAAAAAATTACAATAAATTAATAAATTGTTTTTTAAAATATAAAAAATATACATATATTTATCATATAAAATCATGTTAATACTATATATTTCTAATTTATTTTTTTACTGAATAATTATTTTATATACTTAATTACAAAACTTAATTAATTTTCTTTAATCTTTATTGTAAGAAAAAATGCAATAAATAAAAAAATTATTATTTAAAAAGTAACAGTCATTAAATGGGGTAATCATTAAATGCATAAAATTGTTATTTTTCTAAATCCGTTGTAAATTATAAGACTTTACATTATAAGAGAATTTTTTTAGTACACAAACTGTTTCGACAATTCTTTCATTTTTTTCTGTGCTTTGCTTTAGTTTTCTAATTTTATAAGCAATTCCTTATGGATTTGGAATATTCAGCGCACCGTTAGGTTTGAAAGTAATAGACAGTTAGGGCTATAAATTGAGAAATAAAAATAAAAATAGAGAGCAATAGAAAAAAGAAAGAAAGAGAGAGAGAGAGAGTCAATAAAGATAATTTAATTTACCTTAATTGTATGCTATTTGCAGTCTATCTATATATTATTATTATGTAATTTATATTATTTCCACAGTTTACTATTGAAAATTGAATATATTATAAATATATTCTAAAAATTATAATATTTCTAAAATCACAAATGAATTTAATAAAAATATTTTAAACACATTAAATTTACAAATAAATTATTTAATTAATTAGTTTATTACAAGTTAACATCGAATAAATTTATAACAAACATTTTATACTAAAAATAGTCAATTTATATAATTTATTAGATATATTACTTAAACTCAATAAAATTTCTATATATATAAACCGGAATATATTTTTAAACTATATATAAGAAAAAATTTTAGTTTAAAATATTCAATCAGTTTAAGTGCATTTCTCTGCTTTTTATATTTTTTGTGTTGTAATGCATTTTGTATGTAATTTTATTAGTTTCATTGTGAGATTTTTACTCAATCCCATTGACAATCATTATAATTTATTTATAAAAATATGGTTATTTTAAAATTTTTATTTTTTTAAAAAAGAAATTAACTTTTCTATCTCTCTAAATGTTTATTGATTATATGACAATTTGAATAATTACCAATAATTTATTATAGGATTAAATTAAACTAAATAATAATTTAGTTGTTGCTACAAAATAATTTCTATTATTATTATTATTTTATTTTAATGTCATACATTACAATGAAATATACAATTTATTATACTAAACATATTAGAGGCAATATTATTATTATGAAAATATTGTATAATAATTTCAAATACACTGAATATATAACTAATTTGTGCCAAAAATATTAATGTTTTGTTTGTTATGTTTCCGAAACTAATTTTCGTATTTAATGAGTTTACTATAAAGTATATATCACACTGTTTTTCCTCAATCATTACATAACTACACATTTTTCTATACATTTTAATATAACAATAAATATTCTCTGTCTTATAAATAACATTAATATTTGAGTTTCAATCATAAATTATGACAATAATTGCTTTTACAACAAAATTAATAGTAAATGTTGCAAATATATGTACTGTATGTTATGTAATATTTAAATTATATCTAATAATAATTATTATTATCATTGTCATTATCGTTTTTCCATATGAATATTAAAATAGTCTTGATAAATACTGTATCATAGAGTTATTATAACTAATTATAGATATTTGTAATATTTTTTTAAAATATGAATTAATTATTGCTTTATTATTAAAAATAAAATAATTACAATAATATACATACTGTACTATAAATATACAATATATTAATACAGTATGATGTTTGAAATCTGGACAAAAACCACAAATTATTTTAAAGACCAAAAATAAAGGCAATAATAATATTTTTAAAGTTGAAGTTCAAATTCAATATATTATATGTACAGCAAATGTGATGTTTGCATGCAATCAGTGGTGAACTACTGGTTTTGCAAACAACAACCAAACAAAACATATTTTAGAAAATGAGTTCAAATCTACAGTAAATTCTTAAGAGAACTCTTACATTATGTTTAGTTTTTTTGTGGAGAAAATCTTATATATTTTTGTTGTTTTATTATTTGATTTCAAAATTTAATGCTTGTGTTAAAGTTTTGAACCATTTATCGATCGATTGGTACACAAAACACACACATTGTTAGACAAACAACAGTACACTTAACGGCAAATGATATAATACGGTCTCTAAAACATCATCGATCTCTTGATTGCTTTAAATTATATTTTACTTTTTGAAAAAATAGTTTGAAAGAGAGAGAGAGAGAGAGAGAGAGAGAGAGAGAGAGAGAGAGAGAGAGCATTTGTGGTAATGTATGTAATCAAATAAGACATTAATTCAATAGACAAGACATATGATTTTATTTAATTTCTACATTCACTTGCCTTACAATATATCGTGTCATCTAAATTTAGGGTTTGATTTCAATTTGAAAACTCAATCATTAATAAAATATTTTTTTGAAAAAGTGTTGGTTAAGAAAAAAGGTGTGTTTCAAACGCAACAAATTTATTCCGTATTTTGTATCAAATATCAATACCTATTATTATTATTATTATATTATTTTTAATTATTTTATAACAAATTTAATAATTTAATTCTTATAAATTATCATACCGGTATATTATCCATTTTATATAATTGAAATAATATAATTTACATTAAATTAATTGTAAGTTAATTGAATTTAATATTACTGTATTAAAAAATTATTATCGAAAGTCACAAAAAAATTAATTAATAATAATATTATTATAATGAAACCATTGCACCGATTTTTGCAGCTATTCTAAGACATGATTGAAGAAATTCATCCAAATTGTCGTGAAGTGTACGCGAATTAAACAAAACAGAAATATTAAGATTATTGTCGACTCTGTTCTTCAATTGATTGATCCCATCGATCAACTCTTTAGACATTGAAGAACTGAGACAATCTTTTTTATCTTGAATTGTCATCAAAGTAGTGGATATTTTGTCCAAATGTTTGCGTAATTCTGCTTTGGTTAACAATAGGGTGTGTTTTTTGATATCCCGGGTATAATCAATGGCCCAGATCAATTTGTAATTCAATAAATTCCAGTCTATATTCACGGCTGGTATGCATTTCACTGTTAATAGTTTTTCAGATTTATTTAAATCTACAATAATTATAGTAAATATATATTGATTTAATAATTATAGAGATAAATAAGTTTTATAATTTAAATATACTAACTAGACACATTATTGGTCATGGGTGTACTACTGGGCTCAGTTAGTTGTTCATTGCAATCAATTATATCAATTATGATAACAATAATTAAGACAATACACATCAATTTATTAATAAATAATTTAAATATCATTTTTTTCTATATTTTAATTTCAGGTATATTTCAGATTAATTTTCCACTAAATATAATCAAAATGTCGAACACAAGTGTTTTGTAATTTAAATAATTCTGTAAAAACTAATTACATTTAAAAAAAATTAATTACATTATTAGATGAGTCGATAACCTCATATTACCGGCAATTAAAAAAACTAATGCATTATACAGTAAACACTAAACAGTATATGAATAGATTTGCACTTAAATATTCCAATAGTGTTAGTTTGTTTTGCAAATAATATACCAACTTTTTAATCATGCAATATGTCATATAAATGTATTTTTGCATATTTTTTTAAAAATTTGATTAATTATTGTATAAATATAAGTTGAGCATAAATGTAGTTCCCCAGGTGAGGCTCGAACTCACAACCCCGGCATTACTCAGCTATTAATGCACACATAAAGCACTGTCTTATAAGTACCGTGCGCTAACCAATTGCGCCACTGGGGAATTTTATAAATAGACATTCTTATAATGCAACTGTCCTAATTGCTGAATCAGCCAAATAGCAAAAAAATAGATAGTGGGTGTTATCGCAGTTTTATAATGTATAGACTATTATTTAAAAAAAACATTCAATAAATATGTAGTTACTGTATATAATTTATTATTATTATTATCTATAAGTAAACAATAATATATTTTTAATAATCGATTTATGAGTAAACCTAAATCAATATCTAAATTTTTTTAAACAAAAAATATTATAGACAAACAACCAATAGTTTTATATTTATTGAAATCAATAAATTGTATCAATAATTATTAAAATTGTTGTTCATTAATAAGTCTAGAACTTCTCCCCTCTCGATATCATTTCTCACAACTACTTTGTTAATCACTATTTAATAAATTTACTTTTTTTCAATTAGCCATTGATTTTTACAATACATTACGATTATTGTGTTTGTAAATTACTTCGACAGCTATTATTTATTACCGGTAAATAAAAAACTATATACTTTAGATACTTATGCATATTTTACTAATAATCAAGAAAACTTTGTATACAAAATTAACCCATAAGTCAATAACCCATATTTTAAATTTAAAATACAATAATATATATAAAAATGAGATTCATTAAAAAAAATTACAAAATTATGTGTAAAATACAGTAAAATATAATATAAAATCATACAATAAACCAATGTTGTATACTAAGAAAGATACAATTATTTGTATGTAATATGTTTAAATGTTTACAAATATTATGAATTATCTAGATATTAAACAATATAATATATAAATAATTATTGAATTTAATCAAAATATAAGATAAAATTAATTTGTTTGTCATATATTATGACAATAAATACAAAAAATTGTCAAAACTTTTCTAAAATCAACGTTTCAATCAATTAATTCATTCAATTAATAAATATCTAACGCCTACCACTTAATAGAATATAATTTTATATACTTAAGTAAAACAAAATTATCTAAACATAATTAAATTATAAGAATATAATAAAAACAAATATAAATTTGATAAAAATAAATCGTATTATATTAATGTGTAACAAATCAATAAAATGGGATAAAATATGCTATTTTGGTCATTTTGAACCCTATATATTGTTTTTATATCATGATTTGTCGTCCAATAAATGATAGACTAGTTATAAATTGTATGTTTGAGTATTGATTTGAGATTTCGAGTAAAAATATTGTGTAAAATAATAATAATATTGAAAACAATAATTGTTAAATTGCTTTCAAAAAATAAACACTTATTGTGGTCATGTATAGTGTGCTTCACAGCTAAACCCTATTTTTAAAATGAGATTATATTAATTAATAAATCATAAAATTAAATTAAAAATATTGTGATCCAAATAATTATAAAAAATAATACCTAAACCTAATGATAATATAATGGATGACAATAAAACTCAAATAATATTAAACTAAACAAATCTTTGAACTCTAAAACTTTACAATTACTTAACGTCCGGACATCAACACAACTGAGTAGTAGAGAGCCATCATAGCGGACACACCGGCAGCTAAATAATATGACTGCCGGAGTACACGATTGGTTACACGTCTTGTAAGTGTACGGTCATTGACTCCCGATTTATTGTGAGTCGAGTCGGGATCAATCTTTTGTCGCTTTGGCGCCGGTTCTGATGCCGGTGTCGACTGTATATTATTAACAGATGACAGATCGTCTTCTGACAATAACATGTCTTCTTCATCACTTTCGGTCCAAATGTCGAACTCATAGGTATCGACTACACCATTGGTGGTAATATCCGAATCGCTGAAAGATTCTGTAATTATTATTATTTAACAAAATTAGTTGCAATGCTATTAATAGGAATTTAATGTTAAAAATTATCAAACCATCAAACGATCGCTTTTTTGTAGCTTTTATTTTAACCTTAGCTTCGCTCAACTCGTGGTCCTCTTTCTCCCCGTTAACTGATCGGCGAGTATTGATACCGATGTAAACCATTATGGGATAATCGGGATGTGCGGCCACACTATGTGCGTACAGTTCCTCTTTGTTGGTATCCATATATGGACAGTATAGGCATTGATGGGCGTTCAGTTCGCTATTCAATCTCTTATACCGATACTTATGATAGAAGTAGTCAACATCGGGAACCTCTGTTTCGGCCAATTGAGTGCATTCAAGTATTTTGCATTCTTTGATGACACTCTTGTCGTCGCCATTAACGCTAACCTTGTGTTCATCTCCATTAAGCTGTGGCTGCTCTTCATTGTTAATATTAGTAGCAATGGTTTCCTCAAAATTGCGTGAATGAACTGATTGCTGATGAATGACAATATGGTCCGCAGTTATCGATCGGTAAAGACATAAATTGCACTGAAATAGACGGTAACAGTGCTCCGATCGGATGTGCTCTACCTGTGTGTCAATATTTAAGTCATTAATTTAGTTAATTAAAATGTGGTTGTGTTTAGTACCAGATCTTCGTGCAGGAAGTAGTTCTTGGAGTCGGATCCCGAAATAGGACTACAGTATAGACAGAAAAGCTTGTGGTCGTTGTGTTTGTCGACCAAATGTTGGATAAACTGTTGCGACCCGTTTCGGGTGGCAAAACACTTGTCCTCAAAACGGGTACATTTGAACCAACGCCGCAATCGGAGTTCCGTTGACGTCATCTTACTGTTGGTCACGTCATCGATGGTCGACTGAACCGAAATCAATGGTATCCGCTGTTTGACATCCGCGTAGTCGTCGGTAAAATTCGGGTCAAACACTTCCAGATATTGCGGAAGACTTGCCGCCCGTTTGACGGTCTCTTTAATCGCTTTGTCCGACATTTTGCGGGTTCGACTGTCAACACGTGTACTGTGTGTCCGCACGTGTGTTGTTGTTGTTGTTGTTGTGTCCGCACAAGTGATGACTTTTGTTATGAGTATTAATTAAATGCTTTTTTATGTATTGTTTTGTCGATTACTTTCAATACAATACACTCACACTTGCCGTTCATATATTACGTCAATATTTTTCACAAAAAAAATAAAATATTTTTAATTTATATTTAATTTATTTGTATATAAATTGAAACTATTAAGTAATGTCGAGTCTAATTAATATTAATATTATTGAATTAATTAATTTATTTTTAAATATTTATTAGAAATGTGTGCAAATAAATAGATTTTAAAAATTTTGTTGTCTTTGTTAAATGTTATGTAAGTCATCAAAAATTTTTCAAATTTAAAGGTTCATTGAACGGACAGTTAGGTTAGCAAACAGGACTTACCTCATGATTATTTGATTATACATTTACTTTATTACATTATATAATATCGATATACTCTACGGTTTATGACATTTAAATGTTACGATAATTTTCTTCATCTATTTTCATGTTTGACTTTATTTTATAATTTAAAACATTTTTATAACTCATAAAAATATTTTCTTTTTCTTTATTTGTTTTATGTTTTAAAATTATAAACTTTTAATACTTTATAAGTTTTGCTGTAAATTAAAACATGTACTAATTTTTATTAAATTGTTATATTAATAGTAAATATTATTAATTGTATAGTCACTTACAGTATATTTGTTAATTAATAACATGTGTTTAATTAAATAAAATATACATCAATAATAATATTAATTAAATATAGTTTAGTTGACATTAACCCACGTTATATACACGTTATATGTATAATACTATGTAATTTTGTTGCATTTGTCTAAATAATAAAAAAATAATATTTTTTAATATACTGTACATTATTTAAAACATTATAAAAGAATCTTAATTTCGTTTTTTAATCAATAGTAGTGTTTTTATGATTAGGTATTTAATAATTAAATATTTATTTATTTATTTTATCTAAATTACTAAGACTTTTAATAATAATTGTTAATACAGTAATTAAGTTAAGTTGTATAGTATTTAAAATTCAATTTGTCCACAACTTAGATAATTGTTTAGTATCTTAAAGTTTTTAAAAATATAAATTTCTTTAATAAAATTTAATTTATGTTTTAAATTTAATAGTTTAATGAGAAATTGTTGTATTCAATGAATTTTTCACATTTAAAAATAGGAAAATATCCACTTTTATTAGTTCTCATATTTGTTGCATTAATATAACCGCTATTTAAATGATAATCACTTGTTATGTCAAACGATAGGATATCTCCTACATTAGCGTCCAATTGTTGATAATAAATAGCATTGTTATTAATAATGACAATGAGTTTCTCTACTAATTTGAATGGTGCGAAATAATAGTAAGTATCCAATGATTGATATGTCTTGTATTGTTCAGAAATAGTTCCCATTTGTTTGTCACCAAATAATTCAATAACAAGTCGACACACGTTTGAACTTAAAGTGCAGACAATGTAATCACATTTACTAAGTGTGTTGATCTCAATCAGTAAATCACGGGTTGAGTCAAACTCTTGACGAGTTTTCCGAGATTTTGCTTTTTTCGCTATCGTTTTGTTTCCGATAAAAATATAACCCATTTTAATATACGGCTCGATCTCATTGTTCCACACTCTGGGCTCATCAGTGGCCAAATAGACAACTCGTTGAACAGTTGTGTTACCATATGAACGGTAAAAATCTTCAACATATACCATATATTCATCCAATGTGTGGTACAATGCTTCGGCTAACTTGTCTGTACGCCTCACATGTATGCCAACCACTGGATTATTATAATTAATTTGATTTTCATATTTCAATATTAGTTGTTTTAAACTATTCTTAGGTCTCATTATATATTTGACTAAACATGAGATATATGTTAACATCGGGTCATCACTTAATAGTTGCAATTCATCGCTCAATTCTTTGGGAACAATTGGTGTCAATCGTCTATTTGGTTGATATATAGGAAAGTCTATCACTTGATAGTCATCTCTATTCTTCTTAATGTTCAACCATTTGGTTCTGTTATTACCTTTTGAATGATGACATGTATTGCTAAGTGATTTGAAAAACTTGTTAATCAATAGATTTTGTGGTATCAGTTTGTTTGGCTCATAGATGAGTGTCCTATTAAGTGTCAATGCAATGGCCAGACATTTGGTCAGCTGATGGAGTCGACAACCAAAACCACAATTAAGAAAATACAGATCACAGACCAGCTTTTTAGCTGAATTACAATCCAATGGATTTTGCAATTTATGTATCTTTTTGTTAATTATATCATTTAGTTTTTGATATCTTTTTTGTCTCCATCGGTGATCCCGTTTGACTATAATATTCAAATTTATTAGTAAATTACTTCTAAATTCTTCCAAATAATTTTGTTGATTTAAAATTTTATTGTCATTCATAAAAGTCCACAAAATTGTAATATCTTTTTGTACTTTTCTCACACTTTTTTCATAATTCAAATATGGGTTACAAAAATCAGATAAATACTTTTTTGTTTTATTAAATTTTATTATAATATTTTTCAATTTATAATTTTCATCATTCAATTCTACTAATATATTACTTAAATAATTATGATAATTATATTGATATCTATTAATATGTAAAACATAATGTAACTTTATAATAAAAAATAAAGTAAAAAATATTTGAATTAAGAATACTATAATAAGTAAATATAACAATTTTTTAAAAATATAATTTAATGATCTCATCATTTAGTCTCATAAATATCAAATAAATTTTTTATTTTATAGTTTATATCAGTTATATTTCTTATATATAATTTTATATGATGTGATAAAACATATTTTTAACATATTTTTTTAATGGCATTTTTAAAAGTAACACAATTGAGTGTTTGTAATTTGTAATAGTTAATAATAAATAAAAATATAAATAAAACTAGATTATTATAAATAATTGATGCAAAAAACAACATTAACATCATCTTTTTAAGTATCATTTTTTTTGTATTTGAAGTTTTTATTTTTTAATGCTTAATATATGGTTTAAGTTTTGGCTAAAATCAGAGACAATAAAAAATAGTTGACTGAAATTCTTTCATAGAATTATATGGAGTTTACTGTTATTACTACAGTATAATAATGTATTATAAGATTCTATATAAATATCAATAATTTGTTATCATTTATCCTCAGCAGTGGTCACTATAAGTAATAATATTTGTTAGAAAATTTAGTTACCCTTTGAATTATAGAGTATAATAAATAAAATTTATTTTATTGAAACAAGAATTTGTTTAAAATGATGACTAATCAATGATTAGTAATCATAAAAATAATGTATAAAACTGTATATTATATATTTATTTAATAAAATTTCATTTAAACATATTAATAAATAATAGCTTTTTATAACAACACTTATTTTTCAAAAAAATTAATAAAGATTAAAATCAATTTGCCTACTTTTTTTAATTGATACTCTACTTCATTAATGTTTATTATGCAATAAAATTATTGTTTTATGGTTCAGGGTTTTATGTTTTATCTATATATGACTTTATTTCAAATATAGTATTTAAAAATATTGTTTTAGAGTTTAATTTACTAAATAAGTCTTTTATTTTTAATTTATTTTTAATATACTTTTATTATTAACTTATGACAACTGATTTGTCTTCAAAAGACTCAGATTGTTGTTATAAGAGTTGTTTTTGTGAAATCTCTCTATAAATATGTTTATAAATTAAAATAAAATAATTATAAAATATTTTTAAATTAAATAATTTAAAAAATTAAAAATGTAATAAATTAAGTAATTATTTGTTATTAATTAAAAATTGTTTATTACTTATTTTACTAAATAAATATAAAAAATTAAAACAATAAAATTTAAAAAACAAATATTTTAATTGATTTAAAGTTGTTTTTGAATTAAAATCAATAACTATAATAATTTTTTTTGTTTTTATCTGTTTACTTTGTATTTAAAATACAAAATATATAATTTGTTATTTATTATTTTTGAAAATATGGGAGATAATTAAAATATTTTAGTTATTATTGCAAATTGTATGTATCAAATGTTATTAAATTAAATCAAAATGTATCAAAAAAATTAATATATTATTATATATTATTAGAATTAATAAAGATTTTTAATATTCTCAATTTGTTTTTGCATTAATGATAATAACATTTGAATTATTTAATTATTAATAACTTAATCAATTAGTTTAAATAAACTTTATATATTTGTAAAATGACTAATTTAAAATTTATTATATAATAAATATATTATTTGAGGTCAAGATTTGTCAAGATTTTTAGTGATCAAAAGTTTTACTTATTTTGCAAAGCTATTGGTCTGACACAACATTTTATTACATATAATTTATATGACATAATTTTATTAATTACAGATAGATATTATTTTTATTATTAATTTTATTATCATTTTAGTTTATGATTAACAAAATAAATTATTATTACTGAATATTATAAAAATGTATTTTTGTACTAATATTTTCATTATAATAAATTAGTAGCTATAGCTACATATCAATAAGATTAAAAATTTATTAATCTATTACATTTTGTACCTAATATTGCTATTGCTCAATATTATAAATATTATAGTTTTTTTTTAAATTGTACATATCTTTTAGTAAAATTATTTTGTTTTATAAATTTAATGTTCAATTTTAGATACTTAAAAAATATTATACATTATATCACATTGTATCAACAATTAATTTAAATTTAAATTTAAACAAATGAGTGAACAAATTGAAAATGCAAACAACGATTTAGAAAAAGCTATAATTAATGATAACAGTGTCGATGGAGTTACTACTGAAGACAGTCTCATATTACGTAGCCCTGAGCCGAGTAGACCAGCAAAACATCGGCAATCAATTACACAACAATTACCTTCATTTGTTACTAACAAAAGTATTGTTAATTAATTATATTTAAAAAATTATATATTCTGTATTTGCAAATTAAAATTATGAATATATATCAATAGTTAGTTTGTTGGTATCATTTTTGCTTAGTAATATTTTAAGCATATGCTGTATTGTAATTGGTAAGTTAAACAATAATAACTTAATTAAAAAACTATAATTAATTTATTGTTATTTGATTGTAACTATTAGGTTCAGTCTACATTAACCAATGTCCACATTCACCAAAATTGCCCAGGATACTTATCATTAATGGCACACTAAATATTGTTTTGCTTATTGTACAGAAATTTCGGATCTTTTTTCAAAGCAAATCAGTGCAAAACAAAGTTTTATATATCACAGAAACTATTTTATTGATTGCCTCAATATTTACATTTATAATTTGTAAGTCATGTTTTGTGTTTGTATTATTATTTTTTTAAAAATATAAATCAATAAGTATTTAATATTTTTTTATAAACATTAATTAACTGTTTATTTTTTATTCAGGGATTATATTTGTTTATAACATTAACCCGGAATACGATGAGACAATTGGACCGATTTATTGCAATCAAACACTATATTTGTTTGCATTTTGGTTGCCGACAATCATCATTACATTTGCCATATTTTTGTTAGCATTAACGTGTTGTTTCGTTTATCGTGGCTTTAAAATTGTCAGCAATTGACAAATTTTTTCTAATTATTAATTTTACAGTAAATATTTACTATAATATATAATTTATAGTTTAAAGAAATAAATAAAATTTATTTAATAAAAAAAATAGTAATAACAAATAGCAATGTTAAATAAATATTATATATCAATAAATTTGTGTTAAACTTGAGAATAATAATCAGTTTTAAAACTTGGATAATACCCGTTAAGTTGGGTTCGGGTATTGAAAGCAAAATCATATCCCGGTTTATATTTATTAGGATTATATTTTTTCATTTCAATAATATCTCCAACATTTAAATCTAATTCATTATTGTTTTCTGACTTATGATTCACAATTGCTATCATAGCATTCAAAACTTTATATCTATTGAAGTAGTAATTGGTGTCAAGTGATTGATAATCACTATTAATGTCATGAGATTTCATTAACTCGACTGCCAGTCGACATACATTTGAACTCATTGTACACACAATGTAATCGCATTCACTTAATATAAAGACATCTAATAATAAGTCGAGTGTTGGCATAATATCGGTCCGTTTTGTTATATTATTAGCTATTATAGTGTGATTGAAACTTCCTTTAAAAACGTAACCCTTTTGAATATATGACTTAATCTCATTGATCCATACATTGGGATCATCGGTAGTCAAATAGACAACCCGTTGAACAGCAGTTGTATTCACTGAATTTCTGGCATTCATTAAGTCAATGGTATCATAAAAAGCATCGACATATGACATATACTGATCCAATGAATGATAAATTGCATCATTTATTAGTTTATCAGTTCGCCGCACATGTATTCCTACCATTGGTTTATTGAATAAAATTTTCTTTTTAAACTCATCTAATAGTTGCCATAATTTACTGTTAGGTCGTGTTATATATTTAACTATTTGACCCACATATAAAAGTAACGGGGTTTCAGATAAAATCTCTAAAATCGGTAATATATTTGTTGGTATAGCTGATGGCCAAATGGTCTTCTCATTGATACCAATATGTATGACTTGATATGAGTGTATATCTGGCTTATCATTAGACCAAACGGTACTGTTATAACCATCAGCTGTCAAACATGTTTTACTTAACGGTTCAAAAAACTTTTGAAAAATATAGTGATTCTCTCGGATGTGTGGTTTGTTTGAAAAAATTAATGTCCGGTTGAGTGCAATGGCCAACACTAGACTGTGGGCTATAAGATGTAACCGATACCCGAATCCACCTTTTTTTAGATGTAAATGGAGAACAAGTTTTTTAGTTGTCTTACAATTAATAGGATTCTGTAAATTATCAATCATTTGGTCAATTGTTTGCTTAAATGTATCAAATTTTTGTTGTCGCCATTTTGTATCTCTTTTGGTAATGATTTTCAGATCTACCCATAAATTATTCAATAAATCTCTGACATATCGACTTTGATTTAACTTAAGTTTTGGCTTCAAATATGACCACAAAATATTTACATATCTATTGAGTCGATGTCTGCTTTTTTCGTACTCCAAACTAGGATAACATGACTGTGCACTTACATTACTGTCCCATAGTTTTGATGATTGATCACTTATTTGTATATTTTTATTATTAATGTCAATTAGAGAAATTTTCTCTTTTAAAAGTTTATTATCATTGGTTAGTCTCTCAATTTCACTAATAAAATAGTTGTCTTTTTGATGAAAATTATATTTATTAATGATATCAATAGAAACATAAGTAATCAATGAAATCAATGAAAACGTTATGACAGCTATTAATATGTGTTTGTTTGATAAATTGTCCACAATAGTTAAACTCATATTAATAATAATAATAATTAATAAGTTAATAATTTAATTATATTTAATAGAAAATGTTACATGTTAAAATACCAAATTAAATTTATAATTATATAAAGTTTTTTTAGAAAGTTTTTAACACAACTGTTTTATATTTGTTGCAATATTTAATTATTTTTTTCTAAAATTTATCAAAAATATATCAAAATATTGTTTTTATATAGTTTTACTGAACTTATACAACATAATATTTTACTATTATATTAATACTACTAACAATAATTTATAAACTTTTAGTCTACAAACTAATTATTAAAAATAATTATTAAAGATTTCTAAAATGACAAAACCTGTAAAATAATTAGATTTAATTAAACAAAGGTATATCATTGGTTACAACAAGTTGTTTGACTTTAAATGTCGGATAAAATCCAGACTTATTTGTTTTAATATTAATACCATTACTGAATCCATTCATTGAATAGTTATTATAATTTAGTCTATTATTTATTATAATAACATCGGATTTATTAAACTCTAATTCTCTGTCATTGTTTGCCATATGTTTGTCAATAGTCAACCATTTGTTAAATATCTGTTTGGGAGTAAAGAAATAATTTCTGTCTAATGAATGAAATGCTTTCGAGAGATCAGTCATAGGATTGTCTCGACTTTGCATTAATTCAATGACAAGTCGACACACATTTGAACTTAAAGTACAAACAACGTAATCACATTCACTAAGTATTAAAATATCAATTATTAAATCATGTATTGAATTAATTTGATTGCGAGTCTCTAAACGATTGGCCCGTATGGATGACATGACATTCCCTTTAAATACATATCCTTTTCTATTATAAGGTTTGATATCTTTACGCCATATGTTTGGTTCATCAGTAGCTAAATATACTGACCGCTGGACTGATATGTTTACCAAATTTCTGGTATTTTTCAAATCAATTATATTGTAGTAATCATCAACATATGACATATATTCTGCAAATGTGTGATACTTGGCCTCCCGGTTCACTTTATCTGTGCGGCGCACATGTATACCAACAATAGGTCTTTTAAAACTTATATTAAACTTGATTTGATTGAAATCACTGATCAAATTATTGTTTGTTGTCATTACATATTTTACTATATTTCCGATATACAAAAGCAAAGGGTTGTCACTTAACAACAATAGGTCACCAATTAATTGCTTGGGTATGACGGGTGGATAATCTAGTTTAGTAGCGACTGGAAAGTTAATGATGTCATCCCTCTCCATAGCTTTTAAATGACGCCACGGCTTAGGATTGCTATAATTTTCTTTCAAACACTTATTATTGAAAATTTTTAAAAATAGTTTAAAATAATTGTTTTCTACAATTTTAAGATTTGGTTTAAATAGAAGAGTCCTATTCATTGCCACAGACATAGCCAATGATCGGGTCAATAGGTGTAAGCGATAACCGAAACCACAATTATTAAAATTCATATTAAAAATCAATTTTTTAGTAGATTTACAATCAATATTCTGTATTCTTGTAATTTTTGTTTCAATATTATTATTCAATGTTTTAAGTTTTAATTTTCGCCAATTACTATCTCTTTTACTAATAATATCCAAATCAATATTAAAATTATAGACAATTTCTTTTATGTATTTCATATTTGATGAATTGATTGTATATTTTAAATAATTTAGCAAAATATCGCTATTTTTTCTGAGTCGTTGTCGACTTTGTTCATAATTTATTGACGAATAACACAACTTTTCAAATATTGATAGTTTATTATTTAAATCATTGTTTATTGATTTTAATTCATTGATTTTAAATAAATAAGTTTTAGAAAATTGATTAATATTTTTTATAGTTAAAAAAATTTTAACTAAAAAAATAATTATTAATAATAAAAACAATACAAAACACAACTTAGATGATTGAACAACAATATTAAAATACATTTTAATAAATTAGTTCAAACTTATATAATCTAATTATTTAATATTGATAAATGTAAAAATATTTTATTAATTACTAGAATTATGTTAGTATTGAGTTATAACAAATGGTTTACACTTTATAAAATCTATAAACCAGTATTCAAATAAATTAACAAAATTCTCTAAATAATATTAATTTTTTTATTTTTAAAGTTTTAACTAAATTGGTAATATTATAAATAATGTGTTATTTGTTAATAATGTGTTAATGTGCTATTAATGTGTTTTTAAAACTAATAGATTTTTAAATAAATATTTGAATATATACTATAATAAATAATCGCAGAATTATTGTTTTTTTTTGTTAGTAATAAATGTTATTTGCATATCTATAAATATTTATGTTTAAATTTAATGACAAATTTGTTAAAATTTTAACTTTTAATTTGTCATATTGTTATTATATACTGTATATTAATTATACAGGTATATTAAAAATTAAGAATATCTAAAATAAATACTAATTATATCTAACATTCAATTTAAGCAAAATTCAAATATATAAAATTTGTTTTAGCTAAAATTTATAATAAATATATCAATATCTATAGATAATATTAACTTTATACTCTATGTGATTAAATGTGAAAATTATATTATTATATGTATATATTTAAACAAATCTATTTCCTATACAATCTATTTGTGTATTTTGAACGCCAAAAGTTTAATATTATATATTTGATGTTTGTTTGTATTGTGTTTAGCCCTACAGTTATTATCATTACTATCTTTATTATTGTTTGTTATTATTGCAAAAACAAATCACAAAAACTAATCAACTATTCTCTTATATAATTGAAACAGAAAGTTATGTACAGATATAGAGTATTATTAAAATTATATGACTTTGTCATCAAAAGCACACACACTATAATCATAAGAAAAATTGTAATAATAAATGTTTTTTAATATCAAAGTACTTTTTTTGCTATTTTTAGATATTGAATAAATTGACTAAAACTTTGTTATTGTTAGATAAAAAAAATATTTTCTTTCACATATAAAATTTTTAATTTTAAAATTTCAAAAAACATTATAATTACAAAGTGACGGAATCATAAAAAAAGTTAAAAATTTAAATATAAATTTTTTGTTATTAATATTTTCTAAAATAACTTTTTAATTAAACAAAAACAAACAACATATTTTAATAAATATTAATATAAAATAATTAAAAAAATATGATAAAGTATAACATACAAAATATAATTTTACATAAAAAATTATATTTATGATTAATGAATTCATGCTTAAAGTTATTGAATAAAAAACAATATTTATTATTATTATTATTGTAATAATTTTAATCAATAATTTTTAGAAAAATCCAAATTAAAATTTAGATGACTATTCTTATGATAATTTTGATATAAAATATGTATACGCCACTTTAAAAAATTTTATCTCTTATTTTTTATATAAAATATAATATTAAATAAAAAAATATATTAAACTATTGTAAAGGTTCGTCATATAATCACTATATATATATATATATATTTCTATAAGTATATAAATGAAACGTCAACTTTGTTTTCCAGGTCTTTATATCGGAAAAGTTTTAACAAAAAGATGTCTAAAATTTGAAATCTGTATTATAATTGATATACAGTTTAGTAAAGTTTACAGCAATTATTGTTTTATTGTATACATCTGTAGCACCAAATGTTGACCACAATGTCGTGTCGGATAACTTTATTAAGACATACATTACTTTCAATGATTGTATTTATATTACTTGTTGACAGTATGTCCTCAGCGGCTGAAAACTTAAGACCTCCGCCAAGATTTGGAAAAAGATTTGCTTCGCATTTATGTAATGTTAAGTCAGGTAATGACATATTAAGGTATTTAATAATATTAATTGATATCTATTTTTCATTTTATTATTTTAATCATCACAAAGGTATACAGTATATCTACAGTATCAATAATTATAAATATATATAAATTATAGTACTACTGTATAAGTAATCCTATTATTGATATATAGATTATATTACTGTACTATAATCTTCAAATTATTTTTATATGATTTTTTTACGATTAATTGCTAAAAATCTTATTTATTTACAGGTATTACCATTTTTGGAAACAGTTGGCTAAACGCAATGAGGTGTTCACTAATTAAGAAATACTTACTAAATCATAGTAATCAACAAAAAAATATTGGCTATATATGAGAACTATATATATTTAACATTTAGTTTTTATTTTCATTATTAATAAGTTTTCAAAGTCTCATTTTGTTGTAGATTCAATTATAAATTAATCAGTAAATATATAAATAAAATAATATATTTAATTAAAAATAATAATATCTGTATAAAAGATAACTAAAAATATAAATGTTGTAAAAAAACTAAATTTACATTTATAAGTGACAAATAAAATGAAATTATAATATAACATTTTTTTTAATTTAAATGATGCTATTATACTAAATATTACCTAACATACATAAGTAATGTCGTTATTATTATACATAAAGTAACGTTATTTTTGGATGACACAAAGCATTGAAAAAAATTATTTTCATTTAAAAGTTTAAAAATAGATAGTTAAATTTTAATTATGTTTTTTTAAATTATTATTTTTCTTTATCAATAATAAATTATAAACAATTGTTTACGAGATATCAGATCAATATTTGAAAATGAAACTTTTTTATTCAATAAAATCATTGATATCACCCGATGAAAATTGCAATGATGCTTATCATGAAGCTATTGTATAGTAAAATTTTTAAAAATTGATTAAAATTTTCAAGAGTGCTAATTATTACTTAGAATACAAGTTATATTCAAAGGTCTTAAAACAAAATTCAGACATATTTAGTTTTTAAAATCCAAAACTACTTAGTCAACCTAATATTGATAATTTTATGTTATTTTAATACACTAAAATAAATGTCATTCTATTTGCCGTTTAAAAATAATACTAGTTTTTGTACTTTTGAAACGACATTACTTATGTATGTTAGGTAATATATTGTATTCATGTTTTTTTGTAACATTCTTTATTATTTATGTAATTTGACTATTATTAATAATTTAATTATTTATTGCTAAAATTGTAAATATTTTATAAATCAATTTTTTTTATTTTATTTTAATCTAACTATACTAATTATTTTTGCTGATTTTTTCCGATATATATATTTATATACAAGTTATATACAGTAAATGCATTTTATGTGTAATCCTATTGTCAAATGCTAAATGTTTTCAGTTTCCCAATGTTTTCTCAAATAACAATCAAATGATAAGACTTTATAGTCTTTAATACATTTGTTTAATCACTGATTGATTTTTGTTTGCAAATTAAACACTACTTTCATCACAATCTAACAAACATTGACTTAAAGCCTATCGTAACAAATATTTTCGCTAAAATTGTTTTTATTAATTTTGTTTTTTACTGTATATCTATTAAATGAATTAAATATATTTATACATTACAGTAGTTGTCTCATACAAACAACAAATATTTCTAATTATAAAAAAACAATTGAGTGTTAGATAGCATTTCCAAAACACATTTGAAAAACTATATCTAATTGTTGTGTATGAACTGTTTATTTTACTTATTAAATCATTCACATTAATATTAATTAGTATATAATATATTCAATAGTAAAATATAATATTTAGCTA